GCATGCATGCGTACGTACTTATATTACATGCGGTGGTTAGTTGACATGATGTCCTTTTGCGCGAGTGCCGCGAGTGTGCCAGAATGCACCATGATGGCGTTCTCACGCATTCTGTGTTTCGTACATTCCGAAACGTTTGCGAGGTGAGGTCCCGGATAGAAATTATTTCGGGATAGCACGGCAAAGCCAATAATCGAAACCTTCCAGTGGTACAGGGCCAGATACAACAAGCGAATGACATGCAATCGGCTGGATGCGACGGCGCGTGTTTAACATGATGGGCGCATCCCGACGTGCCAGCGGAGCTTTGCCGCTTCTTTGAGAGACATCGTTATTCACATCACGCCACCATGTTCACGCTTTGCTGCACTAGTTCAGAAGACCTTCTTCGCCACCTGTCACAGCTCGAATGCTGTTTGCTCAACCTATCGCACTCAACTTGCGAGTGTGTCCTGACGATGGAACCGTCAGCCCTGCCTTGTTGCTGAGGCCCTTTCGCTTCAGGTCCTTGGCCTTCAAAAGGTCATGCAAGGTTCCGGGCCGATACGGCAGAGAACTTGCTCGGTCAGGAAATCCGACCTCCTCGACAGACTTACGCTTGGCACCACTTTCAGAGGCCATGTCCACCTGGAATGCAATGCTAACAACATTACAAAACCGGCCTGCGACATGCTTCGTGCTGGGCCACTGAGGACAGAACACCCATCTCCTTCGCATACGCACCTTAGACCAACGGTCTTCGAAGCATAAAACCATAATCTGCCTTCACATTGCCACACGGAGAAGCCTTAGTTTCGCACCAAAGATGTCGTCTAGCAGTGCCATCTCCACGGGATCCGCGCCATCCTGATGGCCAGCTCATGACAAAGCGGAACAAGTAGAAATCACGCCGCTGCAGGCAAGACGCCGCGAACATGTCATCCTCTGTGGCAGCTTGCGGCACTGCCTCGGTCGTGTCTGTGCTGATCATTTACCCTGTGGCCTGATTCGAGCTGGCTTTGCGCACGGGAGTCTTGGTGTGCAGCCTGTGTGGCCTGCTCCGTTTCGGGCTTGCCGGTGGCATCCTCTCTGCCACCGAAGAGGTCCTGGCCGGTGCAGCTGCAGTCATTTTCGTTCGCCTTGCCAGACCCATACCCAACAAAAGGATCATCTCGTCTTGCTTACACTAGCAGCTTGCCTGGTGTCTGTTGTACATTGGCGCCAGTACCAACCGCTCAGTTGCATGTCACCCAGACAGACAGACAGACAGACAGACAGACAGACAGAGAGACAGACACACACACACACACGCGCGCACGTCCAACGATGCGGCTCTGAACTTGATGCTGATTCTGTCTGTCTGTCTCTCTGTCTCTCTG